ATGATTGGTTCATCTGGTTCTGATCCGATTGGTTCATCTGGTTCTGACCCATGATTGGTTCATCTGGTTCTGATCCGATTGGTTCATCTGGTTCTGATCCGGTTCCTCCTTTGCAGGGTGAGGTTGAGCCTCCCGAGGCGGCCATGTTGGATGTGTTGGTCAGGGTTGTGGTGTTGACTCGTCTTCACCCGTCGCCTCACTGCAGCTCTCTGCCAACTTAACTGTTTCTCCTCCTCAGGTGAGAAAATCCTTGATTAGATCTGGATTAGCAGGAAGGTTTGGAAATAAAACGTTATTCAGTCGGTTTCTGTTCTTTCTGCAGGTACTGGTACCTTTGGAAAATGTTCTTGGCACATCTGGAGCCGCTCACCTGGAGCTCACCTCACCTGCTGCGCTGGTTGCTGGCCTGCGTCTGGCTCCTGGCTCCGCCCACAGGTAAACGTGAAATCCTCAGGTTTCTTGAAGGAGACTCAGGTTCTGTTCGTTAGCGTCTCTGATGTTTCCGCTCTCCTTCCTGTTCCAGGTGTGTCAGCTGACCTGTGCCGCGTCACCGGCGGCGTTCTGGGGATCCACTGGACCAGCACCCTGGGCCTGGGCTGGTACCCGCTGGCGTCCGGCAGAGGCGGCGCCACCTGCTGGGAGACGTGCTGCTTGGAGCCCAGGTGTGACGCCGTGTGGAGCATCGGGGGGCGCTGCGTGCTCCTCAGCTGCTCCAGGAAGGACGGCTGCAGCATCTCGTCTCTGCCGCAGCCCCACGAGGAGTCGCTGGGCCTCCTGCAGCTGCTCTCCAAGGTGAGCATCACACCTGCGTCTGCGAAGGTTTTAAATTTGTTCTGGAGGAATGAATCCTGTCTCCATGTTCTCCTGAAGGGACCGGTCCGAATGAAGCGCAGGAAGCCTCGCCACGCCCTCCGTGGACGGCTGAGGAGAGCGCACCTCAGCAGCACGGTAACGCCACACCTGCAGCCTTTCCTTTCATGTGATGATGAAGGGATCAACCATCTCTGAAGGCCTCTCAGGCCTTGGTCCTTCTGTAGATCCTTCTAGAAACTTGGCTCAGAGATGGTTGTTCTGTGTGTTTCATGCAGGGAAGCCCCGGCGCCGTTCAGCTCGCTCCCACGGCTCTCAGCCGCATCACGGTCCCACAGACGGCCCAGCAGAACCTCCGCCTGTCAGCCAATGGGAGCTCAGATGGAGTTCTGGTTCCGCCTCTGCAGAACTCCACCGTCCACAGCACCATTAATCCCACCACGTCTTCCAATATCACCGATGGGAGCTCTCTGACTCCGGCAGGTGAGTGACCACAGCCTGACCAATCACAGAGCGGGAGGCGGGCCCATAGTGCGGCGGTGCTTCTCTGCATTAGAGCTGATCAGCTGTTAAAGCTTCTAAAACCGCTGCACATCCTCAGCTCTCTGATTGGCTCTAAGGGTTTCCCCTTTAAAATGGACGCCGCGTAGGTGAGTCTGGCAGGGATCACATGTCCCTGGGGGGGGAAGTGTCCTGATGTGTCTTCAGAGCTGAGCGGGACGTGGACCTTGTCCTCCTGCAGCAGATCAGATGCTGTTTTTCCCACATCTGACAGCTGGAATGTGCTGAGCGGCTCCGCTCTGCAAACAGGAAGAACTGGTGTTATCAGTTCCTGCTGGCCAGAGCAAATATGTGGAAACAGAACGAGAGTCTGGAAGGAGCAGCTTGGTCTGAGGATCAGCAGAGGAACACCTGTTACCTTCCCAGGGGGCGGAGCCACCTCCTATCTACCTGCCTTTGTATAGAAACCTGCTTCTGTCTGCAGAA